AACATCGTAACACAAGTGGTTTATTTTGTTATGTTTAATAAATTTCTCTATCAAAATAAATTTGTAATAAAAAAACATAGAAATGGACACAAATATAAATTTTATTAAATCAAAACAAAAAATAATGCAAGGCTACACACATGAAAAATCTTATAAAAAATCAATGTTAAAAAAAATTAATCTACATAAAATTAAATAAATCACATATAAATCATACACACCTCTTTAAAAACTAAGCATACCTAAATAATGAAAGGCTACACACATGAAAACTTTTATAAAAAATCAATTTAAAAAAAATTAATATATATAAAATTAAGAAAAAATCACATATAAATAATACATACCTCTTTAAAAATTAAAAACACCTAATATCATTAAAAAAAATCATCACAAACTAATTAAAACATCAACTTAAAATTTATTTGAAAAAAAAAATATCAACTAATGCGTTATTTTTTTTAAAAATTAAAATTAAAAAAAAAACAAGCCAAATATTTTGGGCTTAATGGGTCAGGCCTAGCACCTAACCCAATCAAGCAATAGCCTATTCACTGGCTTATATTTTGTTTTTAATTTATTGAGGAGGACAACATGTCATCCACCCCATATATTAGGAAAAAAAATAACAAGTCGCTTGCATTAGCAGGCAATGCTTTGTTTATTCAACCTTATAATTTGGAGGAAAAAACTAAATACAAATTCATGGCTATGAAGAACATAAAAAATCACATTAAAACCTAAAATTCACTAAGAAAAAAAAAACTTTTTTAAGCTTATATTTTTATGGTAAAAAAAAATTATAATTTCATTTACTCTAATCATATGAAATTATTTGACATAAAAACACAACCATATTAATAGTCAAATTCTTCACCAATGGATATTTTCTTTTTATAAGTTGGATTCCAATGACCTCTTTCCTCTTCTCCAACAAAAAAAAAAGACTAAAAATAAGTAAAATAAAGTTTGGTATCAAAGTTGAATTTTGTAAAAATCAAAGGAGTGTTCACCTATTAATTAAAATAGATGAGGGACTTAAATAAATTTTTGATTAAAATTTTCAATCTGCCACCATTATTATCCATTTTTTTTACTTTAGTCCTTTTTTTTTTCAATTCAACTATCCCTTACAAAAAAACAAAAAAAACCATGTAATTAACTTTAATTTGGTCTTAAAATAACTCAATTGTGCAAAAGAATATTCGAGGATCAAATTAGAGATTTTAAAAAATTACACTATTATAATCTAAAAGTAAAATATGAGGGTAAAAAGTATTTTAAACAATAATTAATTTCTATTTGTGTCTCCCTTGAGAAATTGTTTTCCTAAACAAACAAAACAAAATTTTAGAAGTTCTCCTTTTGTTTCCTTGAGTCACAAGGCATCCTAATTTTTTTTTTAAAAAAAAGAATATTTCTTTTTCACCCTTGTTCTCAAAGAATTTTTAAATTGTTAAACTTTTATTAATACCATGAATAAGTGGACTAAACGGCAAGTATAATCCTAACCTTATATAGACACACACACAGCCCTTAGCCCTTGTCATTACCATTTCTCCATTTCTCCAACTGAAAAACCCTCCATAAACCCTTTTAGACTTCCCCAACTTTTGTAGTAACCTAAAAATCTCTGTTTTCGTTTTCTCTTCAAGTTTTTAATTAGCGACAATGGAGAATGTTCTAGGTGGTCAAAGCTTGGTGGTAGGGGAGGACACGAGGACGAGAAAGACGAAGATAGTATGCACGTTAGGGCCACAGTCAAGGTCTGTTGAGATGATTGAGAGGCTTTTAAGGGCTGGCATGAACGTTGCTCGCTTCAACTTTTCGCATGGAACTCATGCTTATCACCAAGAAACCCTTGATAATCTTAGGACTGCCATGAACAATACTGGCATTCTATGTGCTGTCATGTTGGACACCAAGGTGCCAATATCTTTCTTAACTCCTGTCTTTTTTGTTTTCTCCATTTAATGCATTAGCGTTTGTTTGTAGATTTTCTTTTTTATTATTATTATTATTATTTCTTAATGTTTTTGTTTTAGGAGATTATAGTTTTTTTTTTTGTTCTTTGAATTCTTTTACTTTGTTCCTTAATTTTCCATGATAATATTACTGCTAATTTGATGTTAATTCTCTTGAGATTCCCATGTGAAATCTACATTAGATTATTAACAGCCATTCTTTTTTCTGTGCCCAATATCATCAATTTGATGTGCTTCTCTCTGTGGGAAATAATTAATTTTTTCTTGAGGTCAACCCTGTCCCATATCATTATTGTCAGTATAAACTTCCTTTAGCCATAGTTTTAGTATAATCAATACATATGGAAAGAGACAATGGAATGCACGTTAAGTTCTACAGAATATGTTCTCTGCTTTTAAAAGAATAAAAACTTGTTGATGATGTGTGAACCTTTGCATAATTGCATTTGGGGGGATAGGCTGCATTGGGAATCAATGTTCTTTTATGGTTATTGGATCTGGTTTGCAAACATATCGTCTACCTTGGATGCTGCCCTATTTTTTTTTTTCCTCTCAATAATGAGTTAAATGTCTTTATTTTGCCATGAGATGATTTAAAGATCATACCGAATTTTGCCAGCTATTTCTGAATTCTAGTGCAATACTTGGAACTTGACTGACTATGAATATTCGCAAATTGTGATGAGTACAGGGACCGGAAATTCGGACTGGATTCTTGAAAGATGGGAAGCCTGTGCAGCTCAAGCAGGGCATGGAGATACTTATCACTACTGATTATAGCTTAAAGGGTGATGAGAATATGATCTGTATGAGCTACCTGAAGTTGGCTGAAGATGTTCAGCCAGGAAGTGTTATTTTGTGTTCTGATGGCACAATTTCACTAACAGTTTTGGCTTGTGACAAGGACTCGGGATTGGTCCGTTGTCGCTGTGAAAATTCTGCTGTTTTGGGTGAGAAGAAGAATGTGAATCTTCCTGGAGTTGTCGTCGATCTCCCTACCTTAACAGAGAAGGATAAGGAGGATATCCTGAAGTGGGGTGTCCCTAATAAGATTGACATGATCGCACTGTCCTTTGTTCGCAAAGGTTCAGATCTCATGGAGGTCAGAAAGCTGCTAGGGAATGATGGAAAGAACATCCTTCTCATGTCAAAGGTAAGTCGATAATATCTGAATCTTGTGCCAATATGCCTCTAGAGTTAACTTTCAAAGTGGGCCTTCATTTTCTCTGTTAGAACTAAAGGGTGACTTCTTAGGATTTACAATTTTGAATTGACACAAATAACATAGAAATGCCTACAGAGTGACTCCATGATGATTAGCTAACACCAGGCTATATGCTGCTGAGTTACAGTTTTGAAGCAAAACGATCATCAAATTGACCTTTTGGTTCTATATTTTGGCAGGTTGAAAATCAAGAAGGGGTTGCTAATTTTGATGACATTCTTGCAAATTCTGATGCATTTATGGTTGCACGAGGTGACCTGGGAATGGAAATTCCAATTGAGAAAATATTTCTTGCTCAGAAAGTGATGATAAACAAGGCCAACATAAAAGGAAAGCCTGTAGTGACTGCTACTCAGATGTTGGAGTCCATGATCAAGTCTCCAAGGCCTACTAGAGCTGAGGCTACGGATGTTGCCAATGCAGTTCTTGATGGTACTGATTGTGTGATGCTCAGTGGAGAAACTGCTGCTGGAGCCTACCCTGAGCTTACTGTTGAAACCATGTCTAGAATATGCATGGAGGCTGAGAACTTCATAGATTATGGGCATCTTTTCAAGACAATAATGGCAACTGCTCCTATGCCTATGACCCCATTAGAAAGTATGGCTTCTTCAGCAGTCAAGACAGCAAACACCATCAAAGCAGCATTTATTTTAGTCCTAACCAAGGGTGGAACCACAGCAAAGTTGGTGTCTAAGTACCGACCAAGCATGCCAATTTTGTCAATGATCGTTCCAGAGAATAGAAATGATTCCTTTGAGGGGTCGTGCAGTGATGAAGCTCCAGCAAGGCATAGCCTTATTTACCGGGGTCTGATGCCTGTTTTGACCTCAGTATCAGGCAAGGTTTATCATAGTGAGTCCACTGAAGAAACAATTGAGATGGCCTTCCAATATGCGAAGATGAAGGGACTGTGCAAGCCAGGAGACTCGGTTGTAGCATTGCACAAGATTGGTACTGCCTCTGTTATCAAGATCTTGCGAGTGCAGTGATCATATTGTGGACAGATTGGGTTGAAAGATTTTACAGATGATGAGGCATCTAATTTTTTAATAGTTTATCGTCTGTTTAAGTTTAAGTGATGTTGGAACAATGATAAGTAACTGAATATTGAAGAGAGCATCTTCACAATTTTGGCAATTTATTTTGTGCTCTGCGTAGATGCATTATGAGTTCTGTTTTCCCATGCTTCAGTAGTTTTTATTCACCTTTAAAAAATATTACTGGCCTATTTAGTAGTAAACAGTTTTAATCCCGGAGGCCAATGCAATGCTGCATTGTTTAGCTTGGAGCCAATCCAACCACAACGAGAAAAGGTTCCGTCAAGCCTGACAGTAACAAATGAAGCACAGCAACTCAAGCAATCAACTTTTTAAGAAAAGTGTTGCTGCAGTAGCATCTCATTCTTCTGGACAGATCTTTCAAGAAGTGAAGAAGCAGCATCAAAACCCACGGAATTCTGAGAACTCCTCCTCTCATTTCCTTAAGCTCCAAGGCCCAAAATTCAGTAGATTTCTGAGTCTGCAGTCCTAGTTTCAGGTGAAAGAATTTGCAAACCTGAAATGAGCAGCATCAACTTTTCTCCCGAGCCTAATCTGTCTTTTTATCTAACGAACAAAGACAGAGACGAAGACGGCGAAGGAAAAGGAGGGACTTGTAAGGTCTGTGTCATTCGGTCAAGCAGATCATCAGCTCAGATTTAAATCTAGGATTTAGAACTAGCTAGGGAAACAAATTACGTTCTTGCGTTCTCTTCTGTGCTACTCGTCAACCAGACTGCCTAAATCCAATTCCAGAAATCTAGTTATATGGAATCTCATCATCAGGTGTCAAAATTGCTTACACGATACAAAAAGGCACCAATATCATTGCTTTATTTACATATGGAGAGTGTACCATTTTGCTAAGATAAGATGGCAATATACAGAAGAAAGCCAAGGAAACACAGAAAGGAACAAAAAACCAAGTGTTCAAGTTTCATCGGTGTAGGAAGTACTTCCAGGCATCGTTGTCGACGAGGGTGCTGAAATAGAACTCCCACCATTTTGAGATCCTGATAAAGGAAACAAACCATCAAAAGGCCATGAGATAGGGACCCAAGTGTTTCTAGCATCGTTGTTCTCCATTGTCTCTGCGTCACTTCTCGACTGACTGACTTCAGTCTTGGAATCATCTGAGTGCATTAGGAACCTGCAAACTGGGCAGGAACTATGAAGTTCCAGCCATGGAACAATACACTCTCCATGGAATTTGTGTTTGCATGGCATCTCCTTTGCTTCAGATCCAATCTCAAACTCTTCCAAGCATATTGAACACTGCAAATTCTGATTAATGGAAACTGTTGGCATTGCTTTAACTGCTTCTTTATTTGCTGGAGGAGTCCCGTAACGGTTAGGACCACTCTCAGCCAAATGATGTAGCAGTAAATCCACACCAGGTCCTATAAGGTAGTCCCGGAAAGAACTTGTCACGTTTTGACTTGGGTTTTCAGCTTGGTTCGTATCATCGGGACTCTGAAGAATTATTGCCTCTTCATTAAAAGGATTAACCAAAATCAAAATGCTGCTGCTGCTGCTGCCAGTGCTCTCTCTGTCATTTTCATAATTCTCTGCTCCCAGATTAAGATCTTGAAGTAAGCTCTGGACTGAAGATGCGCTTCTTCTACCCCTTCTCCGATGTAAAGACTCAAAGTCTAGCTCATCTTCATATGGTGAACTGGGACTGCTAATATGTTCTTGAGCTATGCTTCTCAAACCAGAAGTGCCTAAGCCATCCGTAAGGTCCAGTAAGATTGTATCCCAAAGGGAGAACACATGTTCTGATCCTAAATCAAAGCCACTGTTGTTGACTTCTCTCGTGCTGCCCATCTCTTCCAGAAAACCACTCTCACAAAAGGGGCATTTAATATCAGCTTCCGTTGCCGGGTTCACCATCTGAGAACACATATGACACCAGTACTGATCCACCATTTCAGCCTCCATCTCCCTTTCTCTGCACAGCATCCAAATAAACTAAACAATGAATCAAAAGAAATGAGGACAAGAATCAAGCAACAAAAGAAAACAGAACATCCTTGTCAAAACAACTTGTTAGAATCTCCAGGAGGTAAAATCCTATATTCACATCAAAAGCACTTGTTTGTTTATCCTATCATGGATACATATCTAAAAAGTAGAACATGTTCAATCACGATGATCACGATGATCCAAGAAAAGGGGTATAACTCTTGATAAAATTAACAGATTGATCCCTTGGGACACTGCCAAAATTAGAATCTACCTCTATTATTTAAGATGATGTCTATATATGAAATCACAAGGATGATTTATGCCCCTAATGCCCTCTTCACTTCGCACAAATATTTAGCAGAATAAAACATACAGAGAAACAACTTGCTATTCTTTCATATGTCAAGGAAGTGAGACAGATTATGTTTCCTCAAGACTAAAGAAAATCTTACTGCAAAGATCCTCTCAAATATACGCATGAAAAGAACTAGAAAGTACACTGCCAAAGATTTAAGACAACAATTCAAATCCGGAACTCCATTGAACATTACCAAAGATTGAAAAAGAGAACAGAACAGTAGACAAGAAGGGGCTAGATTAAACGGATTATCAGAGGTGGGGGGAAAAAAGAAAACAAGAAACATGAACCTTTAAAGTTCAAACTAAGAACCTTTAAACTACATCAAGCTTGGATTGTTCACACTTTGTATATGGTGTTCTCAACCAGCGCCATATAAAATTCACAGGAAAAAAAAATGTTCTGTACCTTATGGATGAAGAACTATGGAAGTTCTTTACACACTAACAAGCATTGCTACAAGGAAATGGCAACAGATTATTTATTAATCCTTCAATAGTTTCCATTTGTTACAATCATCTTTGAGGTAGCAATGCACATTGGTTAATTTTGTATACATAAAACCATCCTTCAATTCACTTTCATGACTAGCAACTTACCAACAAAACAACAGAAACAAAAGAAGACAGATAAAAGGAAGATTGCTTTTTATCACCTTGTGGATAGAGGAAGTGGGTGGTGATGATGTTTATCTTCTTGATCTGCTGTTTGTTGGAAAATAGTGAAGCTAGCTGGTTGGTAGAGAGAAAGAAGAGAGAAGCAATGATGTTCTCTCTCTTTTATCTCTCAACTTCATGATTTTGTCTTTTTATTTTGTAATGGATCATGGTGACTAAATTAACAGCAACTTGTTATTTTCTTATGTCAAGTTTTGCTGCTGTTTTCTTTTCTTCTAAGTGTGTGGTCCATTGGGTGGTGTCAGCTCGTTCTCATGAGAAAGCTCAACACCTCTAATATGGTAGACTGATGGAAATCAATCAACACCTTGATCTATTGAGATTTGACTAAGGACAGATAAAACCCAACATTTGAAATTAGGCTACCCTATGAAATTTCAAATGCTTGGTCATTTAGCCCGTCAAAATCTGCCATGCTATGGCTCATTTTAAAAGTCAAAGTCTTCAAGATTCCCAGTTTTGTTTACTTCACGTATATTTTTTATAGAAATATCCTACATGATAAACCATGACATGCTGTCGATGGTAAGGGGGAAAAACAGTGGGCCTGTGCTAACGCCCCAGAAAACAAAATAGGCAAACAATACAGGCCGAAGTGTGGAGCGAATAGCAGTGCAAGGCCCGAATATGCAGGCCAACACTTGAAGAACACCCTTGTGGAAGCATGGGAGATCAAGACTTGCAGTTCTCCAGGCTAGAATAAGAAACTCATTCCAGAACAAGGCCAGTGCATCTGTGCACCAACCGGTGATAAGATGACAGAAGATTAGCTGCAAGATTATTGAAGAAAACCATCCATTGTCCCACCAAACTATATCTGCAGGTTCACAGCATCACTTCAATGTCAGACAGAGAAATCATTACATTCAAAACGGAAATCAGGGATTCGTTATTGATTCTTGAAGTGGATTTTCCTTGTGACTTCCATCCTGATGCCTGTTCCAAAGGCTGGTAGATCATTGAAGTTTCCAGAGTCCCCTAAATTTAACTAAAATTCTTGTTAATTATAGATAACACTTGCAGAATGTCGGTGCTACGCTGCAGGCGCCACAGATTATTATTTAAGGGAAAGCGTAATAAGAGAATGGATGTTCTGGGGCACCCGGAAAGACGTGCAGCCATTGTATTTTTTTTTTACAGAACATCGGGAATGTAAGTTCCTTGTCTTGTGATGTGCTCACCATTTATGTGGTGGCATCGATTAACACATTGTATAGCGCCACGGATGATGTCTGAAAACCAGAATATCTATATAACAAGTTATTTAGTTTGTGGGTATGGTTATTTAGTTTGTGGGTATGGTTAATCAAGATATTGAGGTGAAATTTTTTTGTTTTTTAGTTCAAAAAAATATCAAATTAATAGTAAAATTCTAAATATCTATAAAAACAGTCTTAATCAAGGAACTTAGATAATAAAATATAGTAATTTTATTTAAAAAATAAAAATCTTGAAAGAGTTTTAAATTCTAAAAACAAATTATATTTTTCCTTGTATTTTATAATGATTAATATTCTAAAATGCATGGATGATCTTAAAAAATATAAAGGTTTTAATTTCTTATTTAGATGGTTAAGAAGGTATTTATATCTCATAAATCTTATTATTTTTAGAAAAAAAAAAAAGAATTGAAAAGTTGCTTATTTTCAATGACATTAATGATAGACAAATCTCTTTTATATTTTTACATATCATTAATGAGGTAATAAATATGATAGATTTCTTAAAAAATCTTTTGTACATCTATAAGTATAGAAAAATTATCAACTTATACAAATGATTCTTATACTTGTTCTAGAAGCAGGGCTCCTTAATCTTGGATACTCAAGATATAAGATGTAAAAAGACTTATGTTATATTGGATTCAGCTAGTAACTGAAGCCAAGTATTGATGTGGGATAATAAATAATAAAATTAAAGCAAGAAAAAACAGAAGCTTTTAGAAAAAAAAAAAAAAAAAGCTAAAAAGGAAAAGAAAGGGGATTGAAGATAAGCAAAGTTTGCAATATTTTCATTAATCATTAAAACTATCTTTCAAAATGACAGAGAAATATATAAATAATAAATCCTAAAACATCTCGTTATGAAGCTCAACCCATCAAATCAAACTATTTATCATAAATAATAAAATAACAATGAATAGGCCCAAATGGGCTAAATAAATAAAATAACAATAAGATAGGCCCAAATGAGCTTAGTTTCTTAGCCAAAGCATGACAGGCTAGACTATTCTACGTCGTTTATGTCTATATACTCGTGTAGTTTGTGGTGTGGGTCTGGTGTCCCCGTCAACTCTCCCGGGGTTAAAGAACTCGACCCCGTCAAGTGTAGCACTAGTCGACTCTGATAGTACTCCCAAAGATCTAGATCAAGCTACTAAAAAAATATCTTTAGTATTTTAAGTGCAATCTGAGTTAGGTCAACCCACCCAGAACCTCACCATTCTTGTTAAAAACAACTTGTTCATCTAGAATAGCATGAATATTATCTTTTTGTGCTGATTTCAAAGTGAAAGGGATAGAGGTTTCAATAGAATCATCAAGAGGGGAGTTAAGTGGTATCTCAAATGGATTATTTAGAATAGGAAGTGGTTTATAGTATTCAACTAAATCCTTAATGTTAAATGTAAAGCTAATGCTAAAATCATGTGATAAATCAAGAACATAAGCATTTGGGCTAACTCGTTGTAGAACTTTGAAAGGCCCAGCACTACGTGTATGCAATTTTCAATTAGCTCCCGAAGAAAACCACTTGGATTTAATCCAAATCATAACATAGTCTCCCATATTAAACTTATTATATCGTCTATATAAATCAGCTTGAAGTTTATATTACACATTACTTGCTTGAAACTATTTAGTAATCTCAATATACAAATCCTAAATTCTATGTGCAAAGGATTCAGCTGACTCAAATACTCTAGCATGAAGAGACATGGGAAGAAGGTCTAAAGGTTTTCTAAGCTTGTAACCATGTACAACTTCAAAAGGACTCATACCTATTGACCTATTGATAGAGCTATTATAAACAAACTAGGTCGTAGGAAGAATCATATCCTAATTCTGATTATGATCACTTACTAGACACCTTAAAAAGTTGTCCAAACTTCTGTTAGTCACCTTAGTTTGACCATCAATTTAGGGGTGGTAAGCAGTAGAAAACTTCAATTTGGTCCCCACCATATACCAAAGGATTTTCTAGAAATAACTTATAAATCTAGCATCCCTATCCGAAACTATGATTTGGGGAAGACTATACAACTTGACAATCTTGTCAAAATAGAGTTTTGCAACTCTGGAATCATCTGTAGTCTTATTACAAAGAATAAAATGGGCCATTTTAGAGAAGTGGTCAACAACCACAAAAATAAAATCATGTTTCTTTACAATACATGGAAGTCCAAACCTAAAATCCATACTTACATATTGTCAAGGGTAAGTGGGAATGGGCAATGGGGTGTAAAGACTAGCATTTTATTTTCTATGCTTAGCTAGTTAGCAAGTTCAACATTAACCTACTAATTTAGCTATATCTCTTTTCAAACTAGACTAAAAAAACCGACGTTCCACCTCTTCGATGATTTTATTCCTTCCAAAATGTCATAAGAGACCTTCAGCATGAATCTCCCATATCAAAAATTCACATACAAAGCCAACGTTCCACCTCTTAAATGATTTTATTCCTTCCAAAATATCCTGAGAGACCTTCAGCATGAATCTCCTATATAAAAAATTCACACAGATTTTTGTGGGATACAAAGCTTATTATCTCAAAATAAGTATCCATCTTGGAGGTGATAACCATTTATAACACGATGATTCTTATCCTTCATTGTCAAGTATATTTCTCTGAATTTTAAGCAAGATTCATACTCTTTTTTTAGTCTCTCAAATCCTATGACTTCAGCACTCATTACAAATAATAGTGTTACTCAACGACTCAAAGCATCTGCAGCCTTATTCTCTATTCTAGATTTATGTTTCAAAACAAATAAGTATGCTTATAAATATTCAACCCAATAATCACGCCTATGATTAAGCTTCTTTTTGGAGTTAAGATAGCGGAGAGCCTCATGGTTGGAGTAAAGAACAAACTTGTATGGTAACAAGTAATGGCGCCAACAGCACAAAGCCTAAACAATCGCATAAAACTCTTTATCATAAGTTGAGTACTTTTGTTTTGCTTCATTAATTTTCTCACTAAAGTAGGCTATAAGGTGATGTTCCTGACTAAGTACTCCACCTATACCAACTCCCGAAGCATCACATTCTAATTCAAACACTTTAGTAAAATTAGGTAGCCACATTATTGGCGCCTTTGTCATTTTCTTCTTAACCTCCTCAAATGCCCTATTAGTTCCTTTGCTCCACTTAAACTCACATTGTTTCAAATAATCTGTGATAGGAGACACAATATAATAGTTCTAAATCCCTTAATAAAACGATGATAGAAAGTCACAAGCCCATAAAAACTATGAATCTCATAAATAGTCTTAGGTTCAGGCCAATCTACTATCGCTTAGACTTTTTGGAGGTCAGCAAAGATATGACATTTTAAATCCTAGAAAGACCACTTGATTTGTAAAGAAAGAACATTTTTTGACATTTGCAAACAAACTTGCCTTTCTTAGGGTGGTACAAACTTGAATAAGATGATCAAAATGTTATTCCTTGGTTTTGCTATAAATAAAAATATCATTAAAGTATACCACTAAGAACCTTCCCATAAATGGTCTAAGCACTTATGTCATTACTCTTATAAGCATGTTTGGTGCATTGGAAAGTTCGAAAGGTATGACTAACCATTCATATAAACCATTCTTAGTCTTAAATGTTGTTTTCTGCTCATCTCTTAGATGAATCCTAATCTGATGATACCCACTCTTCAAGTCAATCTTAAAGAAGATCTAGGCTTTT